AAGAATTGCGTCGGTGTCGTGTTCTTTTCTTGATGCGTCAATATGAAATTGTGTAAAACACAACAAGCCACAACCATGTCCGTCTGCGACTTAAGCGAGTACCTCGGCATTAAATTCTTCAAATTGGAAACTTGTTTTTAAGGTGTCCGGAAGACCGTTCAACAACATTACGTACAAGTGCATGTCGTTTATTGAATAGTTCACGGCAATTTCTCGGGGTCCTATTTGAACCAACCCACTCAGGCAGATGATATCTTTCGCCGCGGTATGGCCCCAAAAAACCAGGATGGTTTGAATACCCAGAATCAATTACATAATACTTACCTACAAAAAAAAAAAAATCATTACCGTTACAAATTCTCTAAGAAATAGTGAATTTAAGTTGAAAAAGTGAATATTAATTAGAAGACATTATTTTAAAAGGCAGACATACCCGGTGATGGAATAGGAAATTGATACCTCAGATTGGACAACGTATCTTTGAAAATTCGGGCATCATTTGCGCTACCTTCCCATCCTGCCAAAACTAAGGTGAACTTCATGTCGAAATCACAAGAGACCATGACGTTCTGCGCTAAATATCCTTTTCTGCATCTGTAAACCCCTTGATAACCCTGAGGAACCCATGCTGATATTATGGTGCCGTCAATTGCGCCGATGCAGTCCTATTGGTAACGAGAGATAAAGGTTAATGTAGAAGACACAAAAAAGTAAAATCATATTAATACAAAAAAATTTACCTTGAAATACGGATACAATTTCTTATTATTGCGTATCCAAGCAGGTACCCGATTCACGTCTGGGGGTAGGATGTAGTACGGGCCCATATTAGCGAGGGCGGTTATAATGATATGACAATGTCGTGAAATTGTTTCAGTTGATCGTCTAAAAGACTCAGTTGAATGCATGTGTTGTTGGTGTCCTTTTATGGTGTGCAAAAAAATACCAACACTTTCTTCAATGCAAACGTTTTTTTGCTTGTGATGCCCATGAACGCCTCTCCTTTGCATTTCTTCACATAGACGATGGAAAACTTGTTTATCGACACCCATAGCGTCATAAAATCTTCTATTGTTCCCATGTAGAAGCTCGTTTACCATTGCATTCCTGTAATGCTTGATTCACGGTATGGTTTTCTCTTGCGCCGTTCGACTGTGGACGGGGAGCTTTCCATAAGTCCAACTATTTTTTTTTTTTAAATGCGACACAAAAACAGTGCCTAATTTAATTTCTCGTGCAATTTTGGAGGGCGCCTTTTGAGATTTATATTGTTTACAATATCCTCAACAATGCAATCGTTTGGTTCGCATGGCTCAGCGGGTTCGTCTTCCGTCTTCATAATGTCGTCTACGTCATCATATCTATTATTGTCGTTTATGTATAACATCCTACAAAGCATTTTTATTGAGAATTCAAAACTATTGAAACGATAAAATGCATGTAAAGCAAACCAAGCAAATAAACCAAGCAAGCACAATGTTCAGCAAGACATCATCCTACAACAGTAAACCAATGCAATGAGAACGAGAACAATTTTGAATAACTAATTAGAAACTAGGAATAACCGTCATCCACTTCCTGGGGCCCTCCTCAACCCAAACCTCCACAAAGAGGCGTCTTTAGCAGTCATTTGCCATGTTAAGAAACAAATGACGGGCCATCGCGTCTGGTATTTTCTTCAAAGCAACCTTGTAGACAGAGTCGGGAAGCTACATATCATCAAGTAGAAGAAGAGCCTCATTCTGCTCCCTTTGATTCTTTTGATCCTCCTTGAGGCTTTCTAGCGTGTAACTCATGTCTCTCACGGACTCCTTCACCGAGTTCAGTACAGATGTCGATTCGCCAAGCCTTTACTTCCGTTTATTCCTTGCAGCGGTTCCATAAGATTGTGGTGTTATCAGATCCTCGTCCTCTCTACTGGAATGCATTGCCCTACTCCGCCTGACTACTTCATCATGCCCTCCAATGCTGCCGTTAATTTCTCCTCGTTGAGTCGACACCCATGCATAGCGGCTAGTTGCAGTCGAACCAAAACATATGGTAGTTAATTCTTCGTAGTGAAGGCACGTTTTCCTCTTCAAATCCTAATCCTGATTACCTCTCTACATGCCAAAATAAAATGTTCACACATAGTTTAGGAAATAATAGCAAAGTTTACAAACTCACCGAACAAAAAATGTGAAGTGAACGAGTATAAAATGTGCAGCAAAAAAAGTTCCTTACAAAACATATTACTCTTTTTGTTTTCTAACATCACATGAATGTATATTATGAAGTTAAAGTTGATGGTAACAGAACCAGAGAACAAAAAAATCAAGAATGTATATACTAACAGGTTCAAGAATGTATATACTAACAAAAATGTGAAGTGAACGAGTATAAAATGTGCAGCAAAAAAAGTTTCTTACAGAACATATTACTCTTTTTATTTTCTAACATCACATGAATGTATATTATGAAGTTAAAGTTGATGGTAACAGAACCAGAGAACAAAAAAATCAAGAATGTCTAAACTAACATCACGTGCAGCAATAAAATTAACAAAAGTAAGGAACAACCGCTGGCAACAGAACCAGGGAACAACCGCTGGTAAGATATGTTGTCAAATAAACATACGGATACAATAATCAGACTAGTAGGAAAAAAAAATAATAAACAGAACAGCCGCAAGTAACACATATATTGAAATGGAACTATGCCTACAGAAAGCAATGCATGGTGAAAAACTTTTATATTAACTTGAAATGGAACTCACATTGCACCACCTTTTCCAAGTGTCATCATTGCCCGTGATGGCACTGCGTGCTTCATCCCAACCGAAGCCCGTTGCATTATTACGCAAGTGATAAAACCTCGACCATGTAGCTTTAAGCCGTCTGTACTTACATTGGACCCACTGTTGTGGAGTGAATCTGCCGCCGACGCAATTTCCTTGAAGAACCTCTTCTAACATAATGTCGACGAGGCATTTTTCATTCTCCGGCGGCCATTTGGCTTAACCTTGTGTCCAATTCCCAGTATCTTGCTCATAACTCATAGACATCTACAAGTTCATCAAGCTAAAAAATGTGTTGTATTGATTACAAGCCATTCATTATAGTGAGTTACAGGGTTTGTTGGGTTAAGCAAATAACAAGAAAAGAATGCAGCGCAATGAAAACTATTTTTTCATCTTCAATCGAGTAGTGGTAACAAGTAAACATGGGTCAGATTCACTGAAAGCGAACATTAGGAATTCCCTATTTCTACAAAATCTGTAAGCAAGAATAACAAATAAAACTGCAAGTTTAAGTAAAATGGGTCAAATTGCAAGTTCAATAATATATAAAAAACAAGATTTCACTTCTGCGCTTTGCACGGGACCAAGCCAAAATTAACAAAATTCAAAAAAAAAAAAAAAAAAAAAAAAAACAACAAAAAGTCACCAAGATAGAAAACTGCGATAGCAGAATAAAATAAAAAAAAAACCCTTATCGACCCAAAATTAACGTTACCTTTTTTTTTCTCCGGTGAATTGACAGAGACGCTCCCAGTGATCTCCGTATTCTCTCCGATTGCGGCTTCAGGTAATCCGGCCAATTGATGCGGCGATAGAGGTGGTTGGTTCTGTGTTCCTTGCCTCTCCTGCCCTCAGATCTAAACTCCCGGTGCGATTTTGATGATAATCAAAAGGGAGTTCGTCGTAGGGTTCGGGGAAGGAGGGTATTTTGCCTTCGTCTTCCACGGGCATCACAGATTGGGGGCCATTGTATGTGCATTCATCTTTTTAAAGTAGAGGAAGGAGAAGTCGGTGTTAGAAGGGAGAGAGATTTTTTAATAAGACAAGACATCTTTTTTATTTTATAAGCAATTATCAGCTTTACAGCTAGGTGGTAGGTCAAGACAAATTAATATCACGTGAGACCGCTCATGTGGAATCAATTTTATACCCAAACATAGTTTCAATAGTAAATTTCCGATTTTATCCGAAAAAAATCTATATCCAATCATCCCCTTAAAGTTTGGTTTTAATAAAAACTAGTACTAATACACATGTACAACATGAGTGTTGAGTTAATGAATATATATGTGTAAAGTTATTTATGTCTAATACCAAACCTAACTCCAGAGCAAAAATAATATAAAAACAATATCACAAAGCACATATTTTCGTCATATTAACACCCAAAACGTGATAATCTATCATTTTGAATTAATATATAGGAAGAGATTGAGCTGGGCGAACCCTTCTCTAGTTTAGTGGTGGTATCCTCCTCCGACCCGGATAACTCTAACATTGTTTGACCCGCATCTTAATTTGCCCAAACAACAGCGCAACGACAGCAAAAGTTGCAATAAATAAAAATGCAGAAAAAATCCATGTCGCCGTTGGACTGATGTCAAATCTTAAATGGAAGAAGAAGAAGAAAAGGGATTCCTGAGCTCTGGATGAAGCTGGAATCGTTTCATCATCTCGCTTGAAAGGTGCGTCCTAAAACCCTTTTATTTTCTCTATTGCCCCGTCCCTCAGATTTAGGTTATCCTCCGACAACCTTACTCAATTCGGATTTTGCGAGGTGGCGCATCGATTTTGATCCAGCCTACTTCCAGTGAAGCGCTTGAAGATCATGTGACTTTACTTCGTCTTTAATGTCTCATGCAGGGAATTTGGCAGTTGTTTCTATTGGGATCGCAGCTGGAGAAAAGAGAACATGTTAGGGCTGACTTGACACACATTCAGAAGTCCTAAGCTGTGTTTGTTTTCACTTTAAGAAGCCGAGGTTGAGATATGAAGGCTGGGAGTGCGGCCAAGCTTATTGTTGATGCCCTGCTGCAGAGGTTTCTTCCTCTTGCTAGGCGTCGCATTGAAACTGCTCAAGTTCAGGTGAAGTTCTTGTTTGCTGTGTATGCTGGCGTGCACCAGTGTTGCTACTTCGTTATGCTTGAAGATAGGAATCATTATTTTTTTTATTACTTCACCGAATGTTCATTGTAGTTACGTATTCACTATTTGGGAAAGTGAGTTGGTAATCCACGCCTGTTTATCGTGAACTGCTTGTGAGGCTTATATGTATGTTTTTTTTTTTTTTTTTTTTTTTTTTT